CCTCAGTGTAAAGATTTTCAAAAGCTTGGGACATTATTATTTTACTACGTTTTTTTTAACATAATGGACTATTATTTTTGGTGTCAAAAGAGAACAAAACTGACTCAATAAGGGAAAATGTGAAAGAAAAGATTCCTAAGAGTGAAATATGTAAGTCCACTTTATTAAAGCAGCGTAATAATAATCATATTAAATATGGGTTTGCTTTGTATATCATATTTAGCAAAACAGACAGTTGTGTGCACATCCTATGAAGCTTAGAACTGGACCTGGAGAATATGTCAACACACATAGTGACAATCCTTATGATAAAGGCTGAACTCTAGTCCAATGATTAAAATATACTGAATTTCTGCTGTTCATTGTACCAGACCAGACTGACCAGTGTTGTTTCTGAGGAAAAGTGGTGTCTCTTGGGAGGGGGAGTACTGTATTTAACTTTATATCAGTCAGAAGTATAATTACATATTTGAGACTTTCTAAGTAGATGTCTGGAACTGAAGTTTCCTTTGAATATTCTCAACCATGTTTATCTAAAAGAAAACCAAGGAATGAGGAAATTTTTACACATTTTATCTGTATCAAACCCAAGTAATGGAAAAACATTCTAAAAAGCAAAAAGAACAACCGAGAGAGAGAGAGAGAGAGAGAGAGAGAGAGAGAGAGAGAGAGAGAGAGAGAGAGAGATCGTTCTTTGACTAGTTAGGCCGAGATATGAACTGAAATTTTTTCCCATGTTAACCAACATGAAGTACTGTTCGGCAAAGAATAATTCATGATGAACTCATAATAATTACATTTCTAGGTGTTCTTAAAATATAACAATTACAAAGTCAAGAAAAGCAAGAGAAGAGAGAAGTCACTTTCTGTTCTGCCGCCTCAGAATTGAGAAAGAATTTGCTTTATTTAGCTCACCCCGCTGTAACCAGCGTTTAAACCACACAATGTGTAGTTTGTACAAAACGAAGTTAAAGAGTAGTTAACTCTAGTGATGTTGAGATTTTGTCTGAGTCTCATTCTGACTGAATCTGGGCCTCCTTCTGAACAAGGAGCGATAGCAAACTTAACTTAACCCCCTGTTCCTGTGGTCTTACCAGACTGGAAGTTGAAAATTGCCCATGACATTTCCATGGACAGCAGCTCTGTCTGAGCTAATCAATTACTCTGACAGATTAACATTCTGTTGGCATAATGCAGGTGCAGTAAAATAAAATATAATTATTTGCAAGATAGAATCTGATTGTATCTTTCTTTGTAAAAATGAAAGAGGCTACTCAGTAACTGCAAGAAGCAAAAACAAAATTATGCTTTTCAAGTAAACTATAGAAATATTTCAACAAAATACTATAGTGTGGTTTTAGAATTTCATCCAAGAAGGCTTCCTAAACTGGAGGGGAGGGAGCCAACTGAATTCTAAAAGAAAAACAGGTACAATGTATCGCCTCAAAACAATTTAATATGTCCAACAAAAAAGTTGACGAAAACTTTTTTCAGTTTAAGCCAGCAATCTGTAGGTGATGAATGACAGTGGCTTAGATCATCTAACAGTAGCTATCCTAGAACTCCGAAAATACACAGCAGTGATACTAAAGGTGAAAATACAAAGAAACAGAGTTACCACACCCCCTCAAATATAAATGTTTCAAAGTTTAAAAAATATATATGTTCTATTCAAAATGTATTCTAACTTACTAATAAGATACATATATATATACAATATTTCACAATATTTCCCTTTAAGTGAGTTTTACAAAAACAACGTGCCCTGTCTTCATAACCTGATGTACTATGATTGACATAATTTTGCAAAAACAGTTTGCATTAGGCTTAATAAAGATTTGACAAGCTTAATAATGTCTTCCCTTCTTAAGCTATAATTAGATTGTTTTAAAGATACAAAGTCTGATCATTAAACACTTGAGAAAGATACAAACCACTAACACTCAGTTATGTATACGTTGCAAACTTGCTTTTAAAGTAAGAAAAATAGGGGTTGAGGATTTAGCTCAGTGGTAGAGCACTTGCCTAGCAAGCACAAGGCCCTGGGTTTGGTCCTCAGCTCTGAAAAAAAATAAAAAGACAAAATAACAAAAAGAAAGAAAAATAGCCAGTAATTGCCAACAAGCCCTCCTCAAATAGAAATGGAATCATTTGAAAACCTCAGCAACACTGAAAGATGATGTTAAAAATGCAAAATAAAAAAATACAAAATTAACTATGAGTATTCGATCATGCATGTAGACACGCCGTTTCTCTTTAACATTACTAGAAAGAATGTGATATCGGTGAACATATATGATCTAACCTAAAACAGTGATATGGGCCTGTACGACTTTGACTTTTAAGATATACATCTGGATGTCAACGTAATGTTTCAGCTTGAAGCTATTTAAGGCAACTTTATTATGAACCCTGAACACCAGGCTTCACAGTGATGATGCTGACAGGCCTCTAACTCAAAGGGCGCTAGTAGATGCAGGGTTAACGCATTCTATACACTCTACCAGGCCAACCATCAACTACTGAGCTGAATTTGCAAATTGCTGCATCCTGGCCCTAAAATCATCCGTGACAGAAAGAGCCTTAGTATCCTCGAATAGTAGGCCTAAACTATTTTAAGGTTTTAGTGAGATACACCTGAAAGAAATGTTAAAAATATTTATTTCCATTTCCTTGACACCTGGAAGGACCGACTGTTTCAAAACTACAGAACTTTGGTAAAAGTGCAATGGTAATAAATAACTTTCCGTGAAGACCAGTAGTTGTTTTGTATATTTGACATGTCCATTATAAATGAAACAAGGCCTCTTTTAAAGCCCCCAAATTATATTACATAAACAATACCAATAGATTCTGTACTTTTTAATATAATCCATTTTCAATATCATGGTGAAGTACTAATTTATCAGATATCAGAACAGACTACTGAATTCATTTCTTGTTCACTGCAGTGAACTTTGTGTCACAAATCTAAAATATAGGTTCAATAAATATTGTATTGATTTGAACACTAGATTTCTCAACAATATTTTTCTCTCAGTGGGGGGGGCAGTTTTTTCAGAGCACTTAACTCTCTGCTTTCCACCTGACAATACCATAACTTATTTTGTACATAGCTCTGGATATGATAGCCAAATTTCTGTCACCAAGTTTGAAAGAGGGACTTCTTCATAGTATTTTCTCAGTGCAGATGTATTTGATTATGTTGAGAGAGGATAAGAAGCCTGCTATGCTTGTGACTTTATTCCCAAAGCAAGTTATTTTGAAAAGGCTGTTGTTACATTGTTGAAATGGAAATTATAAAAGTTGCTGTCAAAAAATCTGAACCTCCAGATATCCATATTTTTTAAGCAGAGAGATGAAACTATTGTGGTGTGTTTCAATGATCTTTTAACTCGATTTATTACAAATTTTAATATTGTAATAAGCCCTATGTTACCAATGGTCTGTTTACTGTTTAAGGAGAAAATGCACACTGTGATTAGAAGGCTTAACAACAAAGAAAGAAATTCACTTTCAACATCGTTTTAGAAACTAGTTAGAAAATCTAGGTTCCAAATCCAAAAAATGCTCAGACTGAATCCCATCCCGTCTTTACACCCAGATTCTTTCGCTGCAGAAGACTTGTACTCAAAAATCAACGCACCATTTAAGATGACCAGTTCATGACAGTTATAACCTGAGCACATTCAGTATCAGAAGAGTACACAGAACACCAGACATTGAATTAATCCTTTTACACCTTAATGTATGCCCTTGCATTATACAAAATATCTACTTACTTGTATTTCCCCCTATTTTTATCCAGGTTTGGGAAAAGTTTTGCTTTTATTGTTAAAATAATGTCTACCCTCACAAAGGGTACTTAGAAAATTCTGGGCCCTTGGCTGATAAACATTGTAAAAGATACCTCTCAATGGAGACATCCTTTTCTACGATTTCCCCTATATCTGAGCCCTTCACATCACAAGAAAGAAAACATTAATCGCCAAAATGGATGCTCTCAAAAAGGAGAAACCCGACGTGTATCCTTTTAGGACCACTGCTTGATCCAACTGCAAAAGGAAACTGGCCGCTACAGAGCCACACACACCCCTTCCATAATAATCCATTCAGATTTCTGTTCAGATAGGAGACCTAAAGAGATAACTGCCCTAATTGACCTGGGCCCCTCTTGTCGCTCCACCCACACATGGAATCTGAATTGCTGCGTGGGGTACCGGGTGATCAACCACTGGGAAATGCAAGGGGCCCGTGGGAGTTTGGCACTGAAGTCCGAGATGAAGGAACTGGCACAATTCCGCCTTTTTTTTTTCTTTCCTCTCTCTCTCTTTCTCACTCTCTTTCAAGACCATTCTTAACCTGCTCTATAGAGAACTGGGTCCCAGGCTCACCCACTAAAACTGGATGTACCTATGGACTCATCTCTCTTGCTGGCTCCCCCAGCTCGATCCCTAGCGTCCGGACCAGTGAGAATGGACATCCGTCCAGCACAGTCTCTTCTGGGGCTGGGTGGTGGGAGGGGATCTTTCATGGCTCCGGAAGCCCAGACTGCATTATAGAAACTGGGGACCCGCACACTTTCAACCTGTCGGCGGCTGCGTGTAACTCCCACCGCTATCGGTTTTGTCAAGCTAATGGACTCGGGCGAAGGAGGCCTCGGGCACCTTGGAGCCCAAGCCTCTGGCGCGAGCCACCCACCCACCTCCCCAAGCAGAAGGGACATGGGGGTGGGGGTTGTTTTCTGGCTCTTTCAAGGCAAATAAAGTTTTCACCTCTGTTGCATTCTGACCAACTGAAGTTGCTCCATAGGATTCCCTTCTCCTCCCAGGAGGAGTGAGGCTGGAAGAGGCAGCCTAAGCTTTGCTCCCTTTCCTGACGCTCACCCCCGCACTCGGGGATCCAGCGTCCCAACCCCGCAGCTGCCCGGCCTCGATAGAAGCCGAGACCCCGGCGGCCCCGCCTTCCTCCATGTAACGGGCCAAGGAGGGCGCGAATGTCCCCATCCGTCCCTGCTCTCCCGCGTCCATCCCCAAGTTTACTGAGCACCCTCAACCTACGTGCTGCGACTGGCACCTCATCCGGCCCCAGGCGCAAGCGCCCTGCCGTGCTGGCACCCCGCGGGTATCCCGGCCAAGCCCAGGATCGGCCAAATGGCACCCAATCCGGGAAAGGGACGCCTAGCTCAGGGTAGCGGCCTGCAGCTGCGGGGGAAGGCGGGAAAGAGCGCACGGAATCCCGGAGAAAGGAGGCCGGGATGCCCGGGAGGAGTGCGGGGACCCCCGGGGAAAGGGGGCTGGAGGAAGTTTGCAGCTCACAGTGGGCACCTCGGGGCGCCTAGGGCCCAGGAGCCACAGCGAGGGGGAAGAGGTAAGAATCGTGCCTGGGAGACGAAGCAAAGAACCAGCGAGGGAACCTAGGCTGAGATGGTAGTGGGCACACAGGTGAGAGGGGGCATCTGCTGGCGGTCACCGCTGCGGGGTAAGTAGATCAGGGCCACCTCAGTCCCCTGAGTGGGGTCACCGAGGCTGGAGTCTTGGAGGGCACCCATGGGTACCGAGACCACAGCGGGAAGGTTCCACAGGGCCCGGCCAGGGGCTGGGGGTGACCAGTCTCTTACCTTGAAGGCCACGGGCAGGGTCTTGTTGCACCGCCAGTGCGAGGGCAGCACGGAGCACAGGAAGTTGGGACTGTCGGTGCGGACCAGTTCGGCCGGGTGGTCCGCGATGATCTCCACCATGGTGCGGTTGTCGTGCGGCGGCCTCAACCGGGGCACTGCCGCCGCCGCCGCTGCCGCCGCCGCTGCCGCTGCTGCTGCTGCGGCCGCCTCCTGCTGCTGCTGCTGCTGTTGCTGCTGCTGTTGCTGCTGCTGCTGCTGCTGCTGCTGTTGCTGCTGTTGCTGCTGCTGCTGCGCAGCCACCACCGGGCTCACGTCGCTCATCTTGCCGGGCTGCAGGCTGCTGGAGGGGGGGCTGAAGCGCCGGCTGGTGCTCGGATCTACGGGAATACGCATCACAACAGCCACAAGTTAGCGAAGTGGCCGGGGGAGGGGGAGGAGGGTGGAAATGGGGGGCGAGGAGGAGGAAATCGAGGGGGTGGAGGCGAGACGGGGGGGGGAAAGAGGATGGAGGTGACGGGACAGAGGAGGTGAGAAATCAAGTTCGAGGAAGCCGAGTGCCGGGCGGAGTCTGCTGGGGGCCGGCGGCTGGCGACCCGGGCACAGTCGGGGTGGCGGGTGGGGACACCCGAGAGGCGCGGATCTCCACCGGGAGGCTTGGGAGCCTCCGGCGGTGGCTGCTACGAGCGGGACGCGGGGGCGTGTTTGTCCCAGCCGAGGCAAGGAACTTGAAGTTAGCAGCTTGCAGTGGGGGGGCCCCTTGGGGCACTGTGTCCTGGGTGTGCTGGCGCCCCGCTCCGGGTTCCAGTTCGGTAGTGGAGCCCCCGCAGGTTCAGCAGTCCATTTCGGGGGTGCGTGTGACCCCTCGCTGTCTGCCACCGCCAAGCCGAGCGCCGCTGCCCAAGTCGCGGCGCCGTCGCCTGCCCAGGCCGCCTCCTCCTCCTCCTCCTCCGAGGCCGCTGCGCGCTCCCCGCGCCGGCTGCGCGCTCCGAATCCTCCGGCCGCGGAGTTCTTCCTTCCTCAGCTTCTCCGCTCGCCCTCTCACTCGCCGCCGTCTACCTCGCGGCCTCTTCCCTCCTGCTCTTTGCAAAGTGCCCCGGGTCCCCCTCCGGTTTCAAGGTGCCGGGAGGTAAGTAGGGGGTGGGGGAAGAGCGGATCTCGGGGCGACAGATCTGGAGCCTGCGGATCGCAGCCGCTGCCGCCGCCCGCCGGCCGCCTGAAGCGCCCGCACGCTGCGCTCGGCGCCCGAAGCTGGAGGGAGGCGGTCCCCGCCTAGGACACCGCCGCCTGCGTCCTCGGCTCCCCCTTCACCCTAAGGACCAAGAACCCCTTCTCGGTCTGACGATGCTGAAGCTGAGAAGCCGGGAGAGCCTCAGGCTGCTCCTGCTGGCGTTAATTTTTCGTCGTAACTTCAGGAGAGGAGGAAGGAAAATTCTCAAGTCTCCGCGTTGACTTCTGAGTACTCTTCACCCTCCCCCACCTCAACCCCACCCCACATTGGCTGGGGCGGGGGGCAGGTTTTTACAGGCTTCGGGGGTAGGTTTTTCCTCCTTAGGTGACACCAAAAAATGGGTGACAGGAGGGCTTGTCAAAATAGTTTTAGAAATTCTAACAGATGTCTGCATACTTTTCTTATATATTCCTTCTTGTCATTACTGGAGAATAAGGATGGGCTTTTTTTTTAAGAACTGAAAAATGTCAGCTTGGTAATTAAAATAATGTAAGCTGCAAAAAAACGCTTGCTGAGAGACGGGGGATACACAGCGGTTATCCGTTAATTTACCAATCTTTTTAAGTTCAGTCTTCATCTCAGACTAAGTCTAGTGTCTTTAACTGTCTTCCTAGCCGCTCCCCCACTTTAGGGGAATAAAAATAAAAAGTAAAAAATGGTTCCGTAATTATTTATTTATGTATTTGTTTCCCGGCGTTATGGGGGGAGGTGGTTTTGGAATCCCCAAAACGTTGTGGTTGAGAGATGAAGGAGTGCGGGGGAAAAGCAGCAGTTTTTTACCTAAAATGTGGTTTTTGGAGGCTGGGATTTCTAATGATTAGGTTTTTGCGGTTTATATAGACACGACTCAAGCTAAGGCGATCATTACGCTGATGGGAGTCAGAAGCACGTGGGTGTCTCCGACCAGCCTCAAATTCTGAGCCTTCAAAACAAATCAAACAACGTGCGGCGCCCACAGAAGCCGGGAAATCCGCCGGAGGCTGCTACACCCCAAGAACCAGGCAGAAGCAATATCGGGCGGCTCACCTCTCGCGCGATGTTCTGTTACTTGTCTTGTTTAACCGATTATTTTAAAATGTCCAAAGCTTCCGAATAGAATCATTTACCAAAGTCCCGGTGATTCCTAACAAGGTAGTTGACACAACTGCGATTTGGTGAAATCAATGAAAAATTGGAGTCGTCCCCTTAGAGGACTGAAGAAGAGGGATAGCTGAGTAACCTGTTTTCACCATCCGCCTTATTTAAGGATCTGCAGTACCATTAATTGGTGCTTTTAGTGCTGGGTGCAAAAGCCTCCCAAGTTCTACAAGAGACCTGTCACGACCCTCCCTATCTGTTTTTGAGGCTCAGCCGAGCTTCCCTGAGTCTCCTTACCCCGCACCCGCAGGGCCCAGAAAAGGTACCCGGGGCGCAGAAGAGGTTGGTTGTGCCTCTGCGAGACTTCAGCCTGGCGAGTACAAAGAGAGGATTTCTGTGCTCAGATGACCTGGGGACCTGTGTTCCTGTGCCTGAGAGGTGCTCTGGGGATAGAGGACAGGGATGGGTGTGACTGCAAGCCCTCTCACGGGGCGTAGGGATGATACTGAGGAGCGCTCCTGCGCCCTTCCCCTTTGAGTCACTGTTTCTGCCACTACTTTCTGCTCGCTCCACTTACAACTATGCCCCCACCCCACGTCGTCGGCCTTTCCTTGTCTCTTGCTTGCTCTCTTTCCGGATTCTTCCACCAATCTTCCCCTCAGCCACCTCCCTGCGCCTCTAAGACTCCCTCTTCTTCCACCACCTTCTCCTCTATGCCACTGAAAAGCAACTGTGCACCACTAGCTGTGACACTCACCCCACCACCACCACCACCACCCGACTTCCTCTTAGCTGGTAGCCTCCATGTCCCTAGCGCTCCGGTCTGGTCCCGGGACCACTGGAGCCATTTATTCCAATATACACTACAGGTGCAGCGAGTTACTGAGCTGTCTCCTAAGGGTGCTACTTTAAATTATCTTTTTGATCACAGGGGAGAGCTCTAAGCCTGAATTCTGCCTCACCGCGCTAATCTCCCCAGCCATAAACGCCAGCCTAGAAAAGGAAGCCAGGCTTCCTAACTCATCTGAGAGAGAAACTGCACCCACGCTAACTTGCATCCTCACAAATTCATACCCTGACGTCATGACACAGTTACATACATACCCCTCTTACTGGGAGAGCCAACCGAGATGGCTTGTTTTCATCGTTCTTCATTTTAAGTGTGTGGGGGGGCTGCAGAAGAGGAGGGAGTCACCAGAAATGGATAGTGTCTGTAGTCAAAGAGGTTAGAAAGTGGCTGGAAGAGGGTATTTCGTCCCCCCTCCCAGGAAACCCACAGAACAAGGAACTTCCACAAACTGACAGAACTGAGAAATGGCCTGTTTCAAACAGGGGCTCCCAGAGTGGGGCTTTTTCCAACAGGAAATTCTATAGTTCTTTGAATCTAAGAAATCCTGTCTTGGGGACCTTTGCTTTCCCGCCATTGCTGTTCAATTATCACCACCATCTCCCATCGCCCCCCCCCCTTTTTTTTTACTTGATGAATAATGAGACATGCAGGCCTCAATGGTTGGGGATTTTAAGGACAATTTAATCAATGGTGAGATTATTTATTTTAATTAATTATATCCGGTAATTCAGCTTTATAGCCTTCCTGGGCACCCTCCCTCCATTAAACATCTCAGTAGAACTAATGTAAGCAGCTCTTGGAAGTTCGCAGTCTTGGATCCCTTAAAATATCCTACAGTTATTTATAATGTGGAAATGAAATTTTCCACTGAGTGCCCTAACAACGGCTCAGGTATCTGGCACAGTGGAGTTCAGTCAGTCTGCTTTCAAGAGCGCTCCGCTCTCGGCTGGAACTGGCGTGGTCTTGGCTCTGCGCGCTGAACTTCAAGTAGGAAACATTTCCACAGCCCCTTCCCTCAAACTTCCCCTAGCAGCACAGACATAGGAAAAACGCGGGGCTTTGGCGAATGTGTCCTTACTGCTGCTGTGAAATGCTTGGTCTCAACTGAGATTTTTTTTCTTCTTCTTGAAAATATTCTAACCAAAGGACTGACTGAGAACACAGCTCTTTCAGTAAAGTGTTTAAGGTAGGAGCATGCGGTCCTGAAGCCCACGTCTAAGCCCCACCCACCCCCAAATCAGAATAAGATGATGTCTGAACTCTAGTGCTGGGAAGGCAAGACAAGCTAATCCCTGCGACTTGCTGCCTAGACAGCCTAGCTGACTCAAGGGGCCCCAGGCCAGTAAGAGCCTGTCCCAGAGGACAGGGTGGAGTCCATGTGACGGATCACGCTAGAGGTTGCCCTCTGGTCATCACAGGCATGCGTGTACCCACATATACAACACGCACACATCCTATACTCACACCCCCTACACATACACACACACCCTATATACACACCCCCTACACATACACACACACCCTATACACACACATACCCTACGCACACATCCTATAAAGTCACACACATCCTGCTCATGTACACATACCCTATAAACACACCCTATAACACACCCTAAACATACACCCTATACACACAAACACATACATACTCACATGCACGAGTGCATGTGTGCGCGCGCACACACACATATACACAAACATACACGCACACTTCTAAAAAAAAATACCCACTGGATTCCTTGTCACAGATATTCTTCATTTCAGCTGTGTATTACAGAACTTAAAAAAATACATTTTTTTCTGAAAAATTGACTACTGTGAAAGGTACAAGCATAGCCCCTCCTAAATGTTTAATATAATTGTATTGTGATGATACCTGGCAACTCTAACACTCCAAAGAACCCTCTCTCTCCTCTCCTCTCCTCTCCTCTCCTCTCCCCTCCCCTCCCCCCCCCCCCCCTCCCCTCCCCCCCTCTCTCTCTCTCTCTCTCTCTCTCTCTCTCTCTCTCCTCTCCCCTTGCTTTCCCATTCTAACTCCTTCCACATTATTTTATATACTCGGGGTTTTTTTTTTTCATGATGAAAAGTGAAGAAAGGCCCTATAAAATCTTAAAATACTTTTCAGTGAACCAGCTAATAAAGTAGGATAGCCAATGGGAAATTGTGACCACCGTGAGCTCTCTGCTCCTGTGAATGTGTGTGTGGCGGGCGGGAGGGGGGTATTGAAAGCAAAAAGATCTTTAGAGAGTTTTCTTTGGGCTTTGATTGTACGAGGCTATCCTGGAAGATCAGTACTCTCACCCAACCAACAGTTCTAACAGAGCCCATGGACTAAAAAATCTGGCCTAAAGACTCCTTTTTGACTGGCCTACGTGCTGTGATGTCCATGCTAATGTGTGTGTGAGTTTGCACATTCATGGGTAAACCGTGTGGCTGCGTGTGCATGGATATGCATGGAGAGGCCCTCAGTTGATGTTGGGGGAATCATCCTGGATTACTCTCAAACCCACGAGCCAATTTGAACCCGGGGATCCCCAGGCATATATCCTCTCTCTTGCATGGTGAGAACTTTAAAAATTTTTTACATATTCATTTTGTATAGATGGGTGTTTTGTCTGCATATCTGTTTTGCAACACTTGAGTGCCTGGTATCTTCAGAAG